ACCTTCAGCACTGGAGGGAAAAGCTGCTGCTTTGCCCACTCCCCATCTCTGCCCAGGAGGACCGGAGACCTTCCCGGGGGCTGGGGGCAGAAAGGGGACCCTGTGGGGGAGGGTTAGGGGTATAGGTGGGGGCAGAAAGGGGAGTTGGGGGGCTTGGGGGCAGAAAGGGGACCCTGTGGGGGGAGGGTTAGGGGTTTGGTTGGGGGAGAAAGGGGAGCTTCAGGGTGGAAAGGGGGCCCCTGTGGGGTGAGAGGGGGAGGGCACCCCCATCCTGGGTTCTGTCTGCAGCTCTGGAAGGGGAGGACTTGTTATTGTAGGGTTGTTCACAAACGAGGCAGCGACAAATCCTCTCGCGGTTAGAGAGGGGCGGAACTCCCCTCACCTGATGTTGGACAGCCACGTCCTCCATTTCTTCGCGTGAAATTTCGGGGTGAGTTTCAGGCGCCCCGACTCCACAGCCTGAGAGGCGAAAGAGAGAGACTGAGGAGCTGAACAGAACCCCCAAGAGAAGAGACAAAGGAGGCGGCCCTACACCCTTCAGAATGGGAGACCGCCTCATAAGCAAATTCCTGTATCCCACTGCTGCCACCAATCATAACCCACGAGTCCCATCCAGAGTAAGATGATCCCTAACAGCCTATGCCGCAGAGATTTATGCAGCCCAAGATGGAGGTACCGTCATGACTTCAATCAAGGTCAGAGGACTTAGTGGTTGGGGCAGGGAAAGGCTGGAAACAGGAGCGCAGGGTGGTGGCCATGCGGGAGTTGCTATTATAGGACCCTCACCTCCAGCGCTCTCTGGGCCATTCCCTCACATCGTAGAAACCACTGGCTCTTCAGCAGGTTCTCGACCACGTCCCCAGAGCGACTGTGGGATGGAAAGAGAAAAACATTAATTTGTAATATCTTGGAATGGCCTACTTGCACCCCATAGCACAGCGCCCCCTAGCGCCACACGGGGGTTAACACTGACAGCAAAGGAAAAGCACTACCTATGGAACCCCCCCAACCTGCCCCATTGGTAGGGGTTTGCTACCTGCAGAGGGGCAGGGCCATGGCATGATCCTTCATACCCCGGTACAGGCCTTTCTCCTTCAAGGCAGATACCACCTTCTCACGAGCCACAAAGCGATTCAGGCCCTACAAAGGAACAGAGGAGGCTGTGGGTTGCAGTTGAGGGGCACAAGAAGAGCTGCAGGGGGAGCCCAAGGCTGGGACAGCAGGGAGGTGTGGATGAGGACCGAGTGTCATTACCTGGAGCCAATCGCCACATTGAGCGGTCATGGTCCCATCCTCCCCAATCACAGAGACCAAGGGCAGCCCATGCTGCTTGCCCAGCTCGTAGTCGGTGTGGCTGTGCGCCGGCGTCACCTTCACCGCTCCTGCAGGGGGCCCAGCGGAGAGGAAAGAACTTCTGAGACCTGGATCCCACCGCTGCCACCAATTGGATTCCCAAGACCAATGTAGCCAGTGCCTGACTGGAAGACATCATAGGACCGTGGGGCCTGGTGCTCACCTGTGCCCACCTCTGGCTCCACCAGGGGGTCCGTGATGATGGGTAGGAGGCGCCCAGTGAACGGGTGTCGGAGCTGCTTGCCATACAGGTGCTGCCAAAATAAAAAGAGAATCAAAAACAAGAGATTCCACCTACCCATCTCCATGGCAATGACCCTCCCTTCTCCTCCAAACCCCACCGTCTCCATGACAATGAACTTCATCTCCCTACTGGTGACTCCGCCTTCCTCTCCTTGAGATCACACCCCCTTCTCCATAGCGATAACACGCCCCTGTCTCCCCGGAGATGACCTTTCACCCTTCTGCCCCAGGAGTCCCAATCTCTGTCTTCATGGAAATGACTCTCCCACCTCAAACCCGAATCCCTTCTCAACTGAGACAACCTAGTCTCCTCTTCCCCTGAGACACTGTGTCTCCGCACCTCAGAGACACTCCCGCCCCTTACCCTGAACCGTGGGTCGTCGGGATGGACAGCCACGGCCACATCCCCCAGCATCGTCTCCGGGCGGGTGGTGGCCACCGAGACCTCCTCATCTTCCCCCCACACAGAGACATGGGAAGAGAGACAGAAAGAGGATGATGTTATGGGGCTGGATCGTCACGGGAAAAAACAGACATCTCTGGGGCGGGGGACAGCCCCAGAGCCCCACACCCAGCACTGAAATGCAGCCACCTCTGGGGTGGGGCCACTGGGAACCAGCCACATGACACAGGGAGCACTCAGCCAGCCCTGCGATGCAGCCGCTGGGAAACACCTGCTGGCCCCACCCCGGCTGAGCATGGGAACTCACCCTCTGGTCCATCCACTTTGTAGGCAAAGGTGACCATCAGTCCAAAGGGCACCGGATCTGGGCAGCCGGGCACGGGGAGCAGAGTCCCCAGCCCTGCGATGCAGCCACCTCTGGGGTGGGACCACTGGGAAGCAGCCACACGACACAGGGAGCGCTCAGCCAGCCCTGCGATGCAGCCACCTCTGGGGTGGGACGCCAGGGCTGTTCATAAAGCCATCAATGAGCAAATCTTGGCCTGGCGCCTGCGCCCCCTAGTGCCACCCTGAGGCACTGCCCAACTCAGCCAGCCCTGCGATGCAGCCGCTGGGAAACACCTGCTGGCCCCACCCCGGCTGAGCATGGGAACTCACCCTCTGGTCCATCCACTTTGTAGGCAAAGGTGACCATCAGTCCAAAGGGCACCGGATCTGGGCAGCCGGGCACGGGGAGCAGAGTCCGACCCCGGAGCTGCCGGGTTTCCACCTGCCAGGAGGAGACTGCGTCACGAGGCCCAAGGAACGTGCGTGCGTATGCGCGTGCCCGACCAAATCTCCCTCCCCCAAAATATAACTAGAGCCCTGTGTGGATACAAAATTGGCATCTGCATCCCCATGTGCAAAACCTATTCATGGGTATCCCCCAATTTGCAGGGCTCTAGACAGAAACCCACCCCCTAGCCGCAGGGCCGTCCCCAGCCTCCCCCACTCACCTCCACGTCAGAGATGGCAGAGCGCAGGGCGCACGACCAGTTCACCAGGCGCCGCTCGCGGTACACGAGCCCGTCCTCGTGCAATCGCACGAAGGCCTCTGCCACGGCGGCTGAGAACCCCTGTGCGGGGGGGGAAGAGAATGGCATTTGCAAAGGCACGGCCCAGGACCAACCCGGAGACCCAGCTCCTCTCCCAGAGCCGGGGAGAAAACCCAGCTGCCCTGACCCCCCCCCCCTAGTCACTAGATCTAATCCACCAGCTCCCACTCCCCTCCTGAAGCTGGGAGAGAACCCAGGAGTCCTGGATAATGAACCGTTGCACATCAGACACTCACAGCGTCCATGGTGAAGCAGACTCGGTCCCAGTCCAGAGATGCCCCCAGAGCCTTCAGCTGTCGGAAGATCTCGTCCCCTTTCCTGATCGGAGAATGAAACACTGATTTAGAACATGGTGTCCCAGGAGACAGCGCCCCCTACTGATCCCACAAGCTGCTCCCTGCAGCACAGCGCCCTCTAGTGCCACACTGGGGTAGCACTGACTGCCAGGGGACAGCGCCCCCTACTGGGCCCTCAGCCTGCTCCCTGCAGCACAGCGCCCCCTAGTGCCACACTGGGGCAGCACTGACTGCAAGGGGACAGCGCCCCCTACTGGGCCCTCAGCCTGCTTCCTGCAGCACAGCGCCTTCTAGTGCCGCACTGGGGTAGCACTGACTGCAAGGGGACAGCGCCCCCTACTGGGCCCTCAGCCTGCTCCCTGCAGCACAGCGCCCTCTAGTGCCACACTGGGGCAGCACTGACTGCAAGGGGACAGCGCCCCCTACTGGGCCCTCAGACTGTTTCCTGCAGCACAGCGCCCCCTAGTGCCACACTGGGGCAGCACTGACTGCCAGCACCCCCTCTGAGCCTCTGTCTCGCTCTATGTGCAGCCCAGGTCCCCTTCCCACTACTGCCAAGCCCAGTCTCGGGTCAGTGACGGCCCGGCTGCACTCACTCCTCTTTCCATTTCCAGACCTCGGCCAGGAATTCCCCTCGGGTCAGGTCCTGGCGCAGGGCGCCCCGCTCCTTCCACAGCTTGCGCTCCACCACCGCCTGCCAGGAGGGGAGAAGGGAGGGTTACCAGAGAGAGGGACACACACACAGGACAGGAACAGCCACCCCACCCCAGAGCTGGCTGCATTTCTGTGCTACGAGAGCAATTCCTGCGTGGCGTTGCTGGGGGCTGTAACCCCCACCCCCAGCCAAGAGCTGGCTGCATTTCCATGCTACAAGAGCAATCCCTGAGCAGCGTTGCTGGGGCTATTCCCCCTCCCTCCCAGTCGCCCCACCCCAGAGCTGGCTGCATTTCCATGCTACAAGAGCAATCCCTGAGCAGCGTTGCTGGGGCTATTCCCCCTCTCCCCAGTTGCCCCACCCCAGAGCTGGCTGCATTCCTGTGCTACAAGAGTAATCCCTGTGCAGAGTTGCTGGGAGCTGTTCCCCCCAGGTGCTCCACCCCAGAGATGGCTGCGTTTCCATGCCGATTCCCTCCACCATAGCTTGACCTACACTTCAAATTTCGGCTGACCTAGCTCCGTCCCTCAGGGGTGTGAAAACCCACCCCGCCCAGAGTGCTGCGGCTCTGCCGACCGGACCCCTTGGGCATTTGTTGCTGCTGCTTGGGGAAGCAGGGTTCCTCCTCCGACAGCGCTCTGGGCTCACCTGAGTCGCGATTCCGGCGTGATCCGATCCCGGCACCCAGAGCACCCGGCAGCCCTGCATCCGGCGCCTGCAAGGCAGGTAGGAGACACACGCTAGGGCCTCTGTGTGCCGCAGCCGGCCTCAGGCCCCCGCAAACTGGAGTCAGCGCCCCCTAGTGGAGAAAGGCCGCACGGCCCATTCCCCACCCCTCCCAGCCCCAACTCACCATCGCACCAGCGAATCCTCGACGGCCACCGTGAGGGCATGGCCCAGGTGCAGGGACCCCGTGACGTTGGGCGGGGGGATGCAAAGGGAGAAGACGTCTGGTTTCCTATGGGGCTGCCGGCTCTGAGACACAGAGAGAGGCTGTTTTCACCAGCAAAGTGCCCCCTAGTGCTGCATCGGGGCCAGCACGGATGAAGTGAGACGCCCTGCCCCCCCGCTCCTCCCAGCACAGCGCCCCCTGGTGCCTCCCGGAAGGGGGACGACCTGCACTGACTGTGAGGGGACAGCGCCCCCTACTGAGCTCCCTGCAGCACAGCGCCCCCTAGGGCAGCTTTGAGCCCTGCCACAACTTATGCCAGTGATGGGCCTCTGATCCCAGGGGGACGTTTTTACCTGATATTCGGGTTTGAAGAATCCTTCCTTCTCCCACCACTCGTACCATGCGGCTTCCACGTAGCGGGAGGGACGTGTCTAGGGAGAGAGCCAGCGTTCGGTGAGCCACGACCAGAGAGGCCCCTCACAAAATCTTTATAGGCCCGGGAGGTACAGGGGTTATATTTTCCCAGCATACCTTTCTTCTGACCAGCGGGAGTTGGGATGTCGTACAGAACCACCTCTTTCGGGGCCCACGCCTTACCCTGCCCCTGAGGTACCTGGGGAAACACCAAAGACACCCAAAAGGATGGCAAGGTATGAACCAGGCACCCTGCTGGGGACGAACGCATGGACCGGACTTCATCACGCAACAGAACAAGAAGATATTTAACGGGTGTGTCATTTATCACAGAGGAGATTTACGCCGGGGTTGCTCTGGACTGACCATGCAGCCACCTCTGGGGTGGAGCGGGGCTGGTGGCATATCAGTCCCCAGCAATGCCGCTCAGGGATTGCTTTCGTAGCGTTGAAATGCAGTCATTTCTGGGGTGGGGGGGGGGACAGCCTGCAGCAACGCTGCCTAGGGGTTGTTCTCGGGGTCCAAAAATGCAGCCACTTCTGGGGTGGCACAGCTGCATTGGCGTCACAAGGGAGTGTTTCGTTTCACTGAAGACAGGGTCCTGGGATGAGCGCTGACTGCAAGGAGAGAGCCCCCTACCTCCTGCCTCCGGGCCACTCCGGCTTCAA